AAACTTGTATATACTCACTCGTGTCTGTTTCCTTGTGGTGTAGATCCCTACACACGACGTTACAAAAAAATGTGTCCTTGAATAATAATGTTAAGTATTTCCTTTCCAGAAATTATAAATAATAACACTTTTTAACCTTTTAGATATTAAACAGCTATCTTTTCTGTTAGTAAAGAACCTGTGTTTCCTGAATGTTATTTAATGAATATGTAGAAATTGAGAAAATATTCGCATAAAAATGTTCTGTAGTGATAATGTTCTTGGTGAAATCTCAATACATTTGGTCTCACAGAACCATATTTCCTTTTGACTCTTGAATAAAGTTTCTGAAAGTCTCAACATTCGATTTGCTTTGTTCATTTGGAATCTTGACAAGAGAGTCCAGATTGTAGATTTTATTTAAAAAATATAAGCAATATTCTTATATTTATCTTGTTTATGTATGCTCTTTCCTCTGTATGACCTTGAGAAGAGGAAAATAATAGGTGTTTTTATTTTTTTTTTTTTTTAATGTTGAAAATGTGTTTCAAATTTGTTTCATTGCCTTTGAGAATTACACTGATTTCAACTAAATACAACACAAGAAATTTTATTTTCACAACTTTATGTAATATTAATTATAAAGGTTGTATTTACGTATATAATTGTTAGCAACATTGTTAAACACATTAATTAAAATTGATAAATACGTAAATGCATAAATTTATTTTGCTCCTTATTTTCACCATTAAACAATTTTAGTTTTTTATCCTGCCTTGAAGTTATTATGTGATTCTTTTTTATTATTGAAAGAAAAATGTTACAGACGAGCAACCAGATAAGATTTTGAAAGATAAGTGTAAAATTGTTTTTTCGGGGATACTTAAGCTAGCCAGTACTTGCAGAATATTCATGAGATGTCAGAATACAGAAGTTAAACGAAATAGTTCATCTTTCTCAATACTAATTTATTAGTGATATCCTACTTTCAATGGTTTTGACACCTGATGACATCACCAACGGTGCCAAAAACCACCTCTCACTAATAAATTTCTGTTGGAGAATATTTACAGCTAATGATATAAAACATGATCTATACAATTTTATATTATGCAATTTTCATCTAAAAGACACAGAATGTAGGTTTGAATCTGAGACATGTTTGCTTTGCTTTATCTGCCATGCAGTTCAGCTGAAACTTCCAGCCTCCTAAGCTTTGTGCTCTGGATTTGTGTGTTTAACTGTCAGTGTATCTGCTGTGAAATGTATAAACATGTTTTCCTTCCCATTGTATTGTGTCAAAATGATTGATTGTGCATGCATAAATGTTTGTAACTCAAAAGGAAAATGCAAAAAGATAAGTTCCTTATTAACTTTCACTGAGCTGTTGCTTCTTTTTGAATCATAATTATGTAGATATTATTAAGCAATAATTGAAAACTGTGCTTGAAAGCATGCATATTACAATACTAAGTACATTTTTTTGCTTAAATCGGTTTTTGAGCATTTATATTTTTTTTCCTTTCTTTTCATTATAGATGGAAAAAATATTTAGTCATGCATGGAAAGGAAAAAGAGGTTTAACGGCTGTTGAGGACAAAAAGCCACATCCCATCCATGAAGATTATGTAGATGATGAGCAAGGGCTCCAGAGAAGACATGTTGTAGATACAACCCTCATTGTTCATTTCTTTGGCAAGAAAGGCAGAGATGAATTGAGATATGAAGGTTTCAAGAAGTAAGTACTAAATTATTTATGGTGGAATGAAAGTACAGTTTTTGGAGGAATAAAAAACTCTATGGAGTTCAATTAAATATTTTTTTTCACTATTCTAAAATATATTTTAGGCTTTTATATAAGGTATACGATTACAAGTAATTTTAATTTTTTCATTTCATACTAATGTAAACATTTGTAAATTTTAAAAAGAGAACTAGACAGAAAGAAAATTATGAATTATACCATAACTGGAAAAAACAACAACAAACAAACCTGTGTGCACACACAAACTCAAGTGAAAGATATTAGGATAAAGAGAAGTAAAACAGTGCTTGAAGCAAAAAGTACTATTTATAAAATAAGAAAGTAAAATGAAAACTTCTAGAATATGTCTACAAGTTTTTTTATTATGTCTTTAATGAATCAGAATGAAATGTATAAACATTATTTGGGAGAAATTTGAATTGACAATTGTGAAGTAGCCTATATGAAACTGATTTAATTGATAAACAGAGAAAATAATATTCAAACTTCGTAATCAAATGAAGGGAAAGGTCAAATGAAAAGTAACTAGTGGTGCTGCAGAATGGCACAGACTTTCCTGTATTAGTTTTCTATTTCCTTTGGTCAAGGCTAGGTATTCAGACTTGCCATATACTCTTGTCAGCTACCATGTAATTCCACCCAAAGAACAATTTTTATTCTTAAGTTTTCGGTTTCATAATGAAAGGAAATATTATTTGAAGAATATTAAAAGACAAAAACAAAAACAATAAACAATAAAACATCACTGTATGTAACAATTTTCTTTGAAAAAATTGGAGCTGTTTTTAAAAAAATGGTGTTTAAGTGCTACTGTAAATGGGAAATTTGAATCTTTTTTCACAGAAAACTATTGTTCCTGAAAAACGTTGTATAAAGTCATTTCAAGCACTTCCAGTCATACATGCCAGTTGTCTTTACGCTGGAAATGTGAAAAGTGTTGGAAAATGCATATTAAAGACATGAGAAATATTTTAAAAAATTACATATGTGTAATTTTTGAAAAAACAAAGAATACACCAAAATTAATTCAGTGTCATCTTAAACAGCACAGTTAGCACAATATGTTCAAAAAGTTTGAAGAAAAAATTTGGAGCCTTTTTGTGTGTATGTGTGCGCGTGCGTGTGTGTGTGTGTTTTAAGAAAATGGTGTTTGAGTGTTTGATATACAACACAAATAAAATTAATACAAATTGTTTTACTGTGCTATAATTATTTTCAATTCTTGCATTTTCAAAAGGAGTGTTATCGCAAGCGTTACGTAATTATTTAGGTGGGTTCAGTTACGCGTTACGGGTGCGTTACAGGGGGAGCGGGGAAAATACTCCTACGTGCGTAGTTTATGGACGTAAGTGCCTTACTAACTTATGAACGGAGTAATTGTGGATTGGTGCTGTTATGATAGAAATATTCTTGAAATTGGTTATAGATTCTATCGTTATCTCACGGAAGTATTTTTCTTTTGCTTAGGATAATATTATTAGTCGAGAAAAAACACTACCAAAACAGAATTAAGAATAAGCTAGAAAACTCAAAAGATAAAAGTCCCGAAGAAATGTACAATCATTTAAAAGAGGCTGTTTTTGAAGCAGCTAAGGAAGTTTTAGGAGTGGAGCAAAAAAAAGCAAGTTTGTAGAGAAATTTAGCGAAAATTTAGAAAGCATGATTAAGGAAAAGAAAAAGATATATTTGGCATGGATTTCAAATAGGAATGACGACACACAAAAGGAATGTGTAGAAAAGAGAAAAGAAGTTAAAGAATTAGTAAAAATCGAAAAAAATGAACACTGGGAGAGATTATGTAGGGATATAGATAGTACATTGGGATATAACAGATCAACTGAAGCATGGAAAACAATTAAAAATATGAGAAAAAACTGTAACAGAAGCAAAATACAAATAATTACTCCTACAAAATGGATTGACTACTACGAAACATTATCGGCTTGATGTAAAGAGGGCTTTGGCAAGAGCCAAAAACAATAAAGCTTCAGGACCAGGAAACCTTAGAATGGAACTTTTAAAATACAGAGGCTCTAGTGTAATTGAATACCTCCAAAATCTTTTTAAAAGAATTGAAGTTAGCGGTGATATCCCACAGGAATGGAATATGTCATAATCAGTTCCATACACAAGAAAGGTGACAAAACTAGTTGTGAAAATTACAGAGGAATTAGTGTCATGCCCATCAACAGCTAGGCTATTCGCTAATATTTCTAATGAAAAAAAATACAAAAAGGAAATAACTTTTCAGAGAAGAACAAACTGGTTTTAGAGTGGGAAGGTCATGCTTTGGATAACATCCATTGCTTAACGCCAGATTAATAGAAAAAAATGGAAATGCACAATATAGATTCATATATGACACTTTATTGACCTGGAAAAGGCCTATGATAGGTGTTCCAAGATGTAAATTTGGCCAGCAATGAAAAAGACTGAAAGTGCAAGAAAAATGGATTAATTTTAGTTACAAAAATTGGGAGGAAATTACCCGAAGGCATTAGAACTAACAAAGGGTTAAAGCAAGGTGTAGTTTAATCGCCACTTCTCTTAATATAACTTGTATATGGAACACGCCTTGTGAACCTGGTAGCAAGAAAATGTTCTGCAATGGGAACGTTCTCATAAATGACAAGTGCTTACATTCTTTGCTTTTTGCAGATGATCAGGTAATTATGGCAGAGATCGGAAGATATGGAGTATATGCTCGCAAATTAAAAGAAGAATAGCGAAAAAATGGGGACTTAAAAATCAACCTTAAAGGACAGATATTTAATGCATAGGAGCGAGATGCCTCCTAATATTAAATATCGCTGATGACGAGATAGGCTAACTTTTTCGAATTTAAATATCTTGGGGACTGTAATTACCGACGATGGGAAAATTGATAAAGATATAAATACTAGACTTGAAATGGGGAGGAATGCATCAAAGCTCTGCCATGGCTTGTATGGAATAGTGTTTTTAAGGGCAAGACACAAAACGAGCACATATTCCACAGTATCGTGAAAGTATTATATTATATGGAGCAGAAATGTGGCCGTTACAAAAACGCGTCGAGACAGAATACCGGTCGGTTAGAGCTCGAACTTTATGAGAAGTTATCTTTGCAGATAACAAGACTGAATAAACATAAGAACGAAGTGGTGTGGGAAAGAGCTGGGGTTCAAACAACCATAACCAGAAGATTAGAAAATAAAGCTCTTCAATGGTATGGGCATGTCCAGAAGATGCGAAATGAGAGATGGCCAAAACAAATTGTAAATTGGATACCTGAAAGAAGACCTAGAAGAGGTAGACCTGGTTTAACCTGGAAGACATACATGAAGTAATGGAGGAGAAAGGATTGGAAAAGGGTCAGTGGGAGGACCGAGAATTATGGAAATCGAAAACGGCAAACTCTAAGGGGTAGAAACCGTCGAAGGAGAAGAAGAGAAAAAACATTACATTTCTTCCCTTGGAAGATGAAGTTCGTGCACATATTAGTCAATATTTGAAGCATTTGTTATCAAAACTAACTGATTCCATTCACAAAGAGTTTAGAGGAGCCACACAACTCTTCTCATGTCTAATAGAAACATGATATCTTTTCACCACATTTTAGATGGGAATAAGCTGGATTTGAACCGTATTCCATGGGGATATTATGAAGAATCCCCCCATACTTAGCGAAATTTAAAAAAAAGATTAATTTCTGCTAATATAATGGAATGATGTGATTTTGTATGGCAAATGCCTAATTTGTTAGCTTTTGAAACATTTGCAATATTCATCATTCAGAATCCAACATGACCCATGTGCACTTTAGAATTGTGAATTTTGCAGAATTCTTCCTCCCATTACCATATTCACTCCACAGCAGCCCTGTATTGTAATGGAAAGAAGACAGATCCCAATTATAAGAGGAGCGCCATCTTGTGAAATAGTTTGATCTCATCATTAGAATACCTGCAGATAAATAGCCAGAAAACATGAAATGAACAGAGACAGAAAGTAAAGGCAAAACGTGTTCACTCTTGGTGGGTTTGTCCATATTCTGAGGAGGGAATACAGAGAAGGCTCTCATGTGTTCCTTTCTCCGTCTTCCATTCTCTTCATTGCATAAGTCTTCATTATTTTCTCCTTTTTTCCTTCATCACTGGACTTCTCTGTATGCTGAATGTCTACCCATGTGTTTGCCGTGCATAACTCGCATGCCGCTTTCATGCTGGAACCAGTGGCGGCTGCGGCAGGGAGGCGCTAGGGACACTGCCCCCCTACGGAGATCAGTATTTCTTCTCTTGCGCTGTCTAAAATAATCTTTGTGGGTCTGTAGGGTTGTTTTCGAATCAAACGCATATTTTGCTTTCAAACTCCCGCTTGTTCCGTAGAACGATTTTCATTGGCTGCGGACACTCGCTTCTGTGTCCTAAACGCAGTGTTGTTAAGGAACGTACTGACATAAAAATGGCCGACAACGAGTGCTCGAATGGCAACGTAGGATCGGCAAATGGCGTCTCGTGACGGCCGCCGCCCAGCAGCCTGACAGCATAGAGGAGAGATACAAATATATCTCTACTCTACGCCTCACAGGGGAGGTAGCAACCTCGTTGCCCGGCGCTATCTATTGATCTATTTTTAAACTTACAATATTCCTTTCGCTTGATTTACGTCCAGACCAGTGCTTTCTGCTGGTATTCTGTTTAACTGTTCTCCCTTTGCGCAAGCTTTCTGTGCAGGCAGTAGTGTGCAATCGGCATGGTCGGCATCATCTCTCCGCTCCGTAGACAAACTATGTGAATGCCGTGTTCCGATCTTTGCGTTCAGATCGAATTGTGCATTGTGATTGAGAATGGTTTCTGCAAAATGCCTGAAAACAGCCTATGTGGTTATGATACAAGGCTGTGCATGAAGAGAATCGGACCACCTTGGCCTGATATAAAAATTTTACAATCTGATAGAAATGCAATCGTTTTTTTGTACGGAATTTTCAAAGG